GAAAGTAGCTAAAGGAAGCCCATAATCAGGCAGTCATGAGACAGCATTTGAAAAGAACCTATCTGCAGTATTTTTTGTGCTGGGGATTGAACTCAGGACCTTGAGTGGCACCACTGAGCTAAATCCCCACCTCCCTAACCACTTTTTAATGCTCAGCAGATCCTGCTGTGTGTGAGCAGGAGTAGAAAGCAGAGGAAGTGCCAGGCATGGCTGTATGCACCTGTAATGTCTGCACTTCAGAAGCTGAGGCAGGAAGATCAACTTGCATTTGAGCCCAGACTGGGCTACATAGTGAGTTCAAGGCCAGCCTGAACTACATAGCAAGACCCTGTCTCAAACCAAAAAAAAAGAAAAAAAAGAAAAAGAAAAAGCAGAGGAACAGAGATCACAGTCCTGGATGTGTAAACGTGTTCTGATTTAGGAATGAGAAAGAAATTTCTGAAGGTGAGGGTATTGGAATCGGCTTCTTCTTCACGTGTGGGAGGACTTACATGGAACATTCTTTGGGATGTTTTGAGACAGGGTCTCCTTGTGTATTCCAGGCTGGCCTTGAACTCCCTATGTAGCCCAGGCTGGCCTGGACCTCAAGGCAATCCTCCTGCCTCAGCCTCCCCAGTGCTGGGATTACAGGCATGTGCCAACACAGTTCTCTGGGATTTTCTTCAGTTGATCCTGCCTTTCTTTCCCTCTCTCTGCTCTCCATGTTCTCTTTCCCCTGGCTGGAATGTTTAATTTAGCAGAGGCTCACAAGGATGTTTTTGTGTGGAATCCTGGCAACTGTTAAGGCCTGACTCAGCACCGTGCAGGTTTTCTGTTCCTGAAAACTCCTAAAGGAAATGCATTAAATAGTTCTCAAAAGACAGTTCTGTCAAGAAGGAATTGACACCATACATCTGACCCAACAGAAATACGGACGTACTTCCGGTGGAGGCTGTTCTGTGTGCATACAGACTTTAGCATATGGGAAAAAGGAGGTGATTTAAGAAGGGTGACAACATGTGGTCCGCAGCCCGAGTGTGTGGACCAGACCTGTGGAGCTGAAGCACAGTTGCCTGTCAGCAAGAAGACTTCTGGCTTCACTTTCTCTGGTTTTCTAGAACTCGGGCTCCTTCTGACTGAGAAGGATGGCCTTGGGGGGCCTTAGGGAGCCATGTGCATGCCTATAATTCCAGCCCTTGGGAGGCTGAGCCAGGAGGATCATCACAGTTCACAGCCTGGAAAACAGGGAGACCCTGTCAAAAAGAAGGCTGGTCTGGGGAAGTAGAGTCAGGACTTTGTGGGGCCCCTGTGAGCTCCCCGAGGAGCTCACTAGGCAGGGAGATGAGGCAGAAACACGATGTTCTGTCCCTTTCCGGCCAAGCAGACAGTGCTGGGTATTATCTTCCTGGTGTGGGAGGAAGTGGAAAGAATAGAGGCGCCTGGACTCCTGACCGGCGGGCGAATAAGGGATCCGGGCTTCAGTATCAGAAATCTAAAATTATCTAGCTTGATGCGGAAGCTGCTCAACATATGTGGGGAAAGAATTCCATTCTCCGTTTTAGAAATGAACATGCAAATGTGGATCCTATGTGCCATCCTTACTGACATACTACCAAACCCTTTATCTTTCCTTGTTTTGATTTTTTGAGACAGTCTCCCTATGTGGTCCAGGCTGGCTTTGAACTCACTGTGTAGCCCAGGCTGGTCTCCAACTTGGGCCAATCTTTCTGCCTCAGCCTCCCGAATGCTGGGATCACAGGCCTGCACCACCACATCGGGTGTTTCTCTCCTTTAAAATGAGATCCCTCGCAGCCTATTTCTGTTTTGGTTAATGTCTGTCGCTCATCCTGCTGGTGACTGGACTTGGGGCCATGGAGTCGAAGTGTGTTTCCCCTCCCGCATCCACCCCGCCCTCTCAGTCCCCACCGGAGACGCCCTGATTTGGCTTCCTGCACTGTCAAAAAATGGCGAAAAGATCCCAAGGGCTTCTCTGCATCTGCTGGGGATTCGGGTGCAGTTTGCGAGCCTTAGGGATTTGGGTTTTCTTGGGTTTTTGCCTTGAGGGGCAAGAGCACAGGAAGAGAGACGAGTGGACCCTTTGGGGTGGAGTCAGGAAGGTCCTTGGAAGGCAAGCAGTTTTGGCACCGGAAGTCACTCACGGTTTCTTAGCAGTGTGTTTTGATCTCAAGGTTTTGAGCCTTGTTTTATTTTTAGTTTTTGCAGTACTAGGTATTGAACCCAGGGCCTCCTGCACCTAGGCGAGCACCGCACCGTAACACCAAGCCACACCACCAGACCCATCCAGCTTATTTTAACATTTAAAGCTTCTATTTGCAGCCCTGGGGTTGAATCCTGGCCCTTTCCTGGGCCTAACTTTTGTACTTTAACTCCTTCAGCATCCATGTCACTGTGAACTGATTATTACCTTCTTTGGTTATTATTGTTGTTGTTTTCTTTTGTTGTTTGTTTGTTATTGGTCTTTTGAGATAGGAACTATGTAGTTCAGGCGGCTCGAAGTCGTGGTGACCATCCTGCCTCAGCCTCTTGAGTTGTGGGATTACAGGCATGCGCTATCACAGCCAGCATGATTGCCATCTTAACTATAGCTTTGTAAGTGTTTGACCAAGAAGCACTTTTCAGCTCTCTAGACAAAGCAAACCCACTTTCCTCACAATGCCACAGCAGCTTTACTAATTATCAGAAATTCTTATGCTGTGGAGTCCAAAACAGTCCTTTGATGGCTGATTGGGACAACATTTTTGATTTTTTTTTTTTTTTTTTTTTTTTTTGAGACAGGCTATCTAGTCCATGCTGGGCTTGAACTCAGTGTGTAGCCCAGGCTGGTGTGGGTTTTAGAAGCTAGGCCTGGCAGCGCTTCCCTGTCATCCTAGCTACTCAGGAGGCTGAGGCAGGAGAATTATAGGTGTGAAGACAGCCTGAGCAATTTAGCTAGACCCTGCCCCAAGATAAAGACAAAAGACAAAACAAACAAAAAATTGGGGAGGTTGAGGCAAGAGAATTGAAAGTTCAAACCCAGGGCTGGGGATTTAGCTCAGTGGTGCCATGCCTGACTTGCAAATGCAAGGTCCTGAGTTCGATCCCAAAAAAGAAAGAAAGTTCAAGCCCATCCTGGACAGCTTGGCACCTTAGCAAGACCCTGTCTCAAAGAATTAAAAAAAAAAACAGCTGGAGACGTAGCCCAGTGTGAAGGCCCTGGGTTCAGTAATGATAGCAACAGTACTGATAACTAAATTTTTTTCAGTGTAAAAGCCGTATCCCTGGGAGCTCTCACCCAGTCCTGGGATTCTCTCCCACACCCACACTGACTCAGCAGCAGGGCGGCTGAGGTCTCGCCTTGCTTTCTGGGGCGCTTTCCTGCGATGCTGGTGCTCTGGACACTGGACGTGTGAGGTCTTGGGGTGTGAGCTGCAGAGGCCTTGCGTGGGGCACAGTGTGCAGGGGCAGAGTGCGCTCCTGGCCCGAGGGAAGCTCCAGCCTCATCCTCACTACCGCACAAAACCAGGCCATGTCCGGGTCCGTTTTCTTCTGTCCCTGAGGCAGAACCTGCTGTCGACCTGTTCACCCCGTCTTGCTGGCTCTCACTTATTCCTGCCAATCCAAGGCAACAACTGGGGAGGCTGAGGCAGGAGGATCACTGGGGGTTCAAGGTCAGCCTGGGTTACATAGGGCGACCCTGTCTCAAAACCTTCCTCTACACCACCCCACCGCAGGGTGTGACTCTCCCCTGTCCCAGGAGCTCTGACAAGGTGGCGTCCACCTGAGTGGGTGATAAGAGGCCATGGGAGCATCCCTGTGCCACCCTGCCTGTGGCCCCTGGCTGAGGAATGAGGACTGGGTGCTCCGCTGTGTCAGAGCCAGTGGAAACTTCTCTTGGGCTGTGAGGTTTCTGGTGGAAGTGCTCACCCCACAGCCTGGGCAGTGGCTCCCCCACCGGGCCCTGCTCCACGGCCTACAGGCCGGGCATCTGTCTGGCTGGAGCAGGTCCTCGGACCCTCGGTTTGCTTTGAACCTGGTACCGCCTGCCTCTCCTCTCGGCTCTGCACACATCCGTGCAGACTGGCAACAGAAAGGTGGTTTCTAGAGGCAGCTGTTCCTGAGTCTTTCCAGCCAACAGTAGGAAGCCTTGTTTGTGTTCTCAGGAACTTTCCTGTGGAATTCCCCTCCAGATGGGACAGCAGTGGTGGCTGCAGAGTGGGTTCTCCATGGGCCGGGCAGGCAGCAGAGTGGAGACTTCAGCCTGGGTCAGAACCACCCGAGGGCTCTTACAGTGCAGACTGCTGGGCGCTGTACTCCTGGAGTTTTTTGTTTTTAAGAGGTTTGGTGGGTTAGATTTCCTTTTCCTTTTCCTTTTCCTTTTTCTTGTTTTGTTTTCTTTTCTTTTTGAGACAGTCTCATTATGTGGTTCACTTTGACCTTGAACTCACTGTGTAGCCCAGGGCCAGGCTTGAACTCGTGGTGATCCTCCTGCCTCAGCCTCCGAGTGCTGGGATTACACGGCCAGTTGGCACATGCGTAGTTGATTAATTAGTAGTCAAATTAATTAGTAATTAATTAGTAATTAGCATCATTAGCTTCCAGTCCTCATAGATTTGCTTGCAGCTTTTTGTTGATATTGCCTGTAAACACTGAGGCCCAAAGGGACAGCGGCATTCACTGTTCCTGGGCACCGCCCTCTGTGTCAAGGGCCTGCTGCTGGCGGCCTCTGGTTTGCACCCAGAGGACCCGACGGTCCAGGCCTACGGCGGACACCAGCAGAGGGTGTAGGGAGCCTCTGAAAACTCGCCTTCCCCTGGCCGTTCCATCACCATGATGGTGTCAGAGTTGGGATTTAAAGCCGAAGGCGTTTGGAAGATCGGCAGCTGCACAGGGGCTGGAAGGAGGTGTCACTGGCCCCGTCCCTCCATCCCTGAGTCTGAGGCCCGCACAGGTCACAGGACAGGAGCTGGGGTGGGTTGGTTCCTGCACTTGTTCTTACTAAAGGCACCCTGCTTTCTCTGAAGCAGCCCCGGACCAGCCCAGGAGGGACACAGGGATCCTGGCCTCAGCCTTGGCGACCCGCCCTCTGATGAGGACGAGGTCATCAACAGCTCCGACGAGGAAGATGGCAGCTCTGAGTCGAGTAAAGGGGAGCCAGAGCCGCTGGAGGAGAAGCAGGTACACTTTGGTAACCAAGTGGTTATTCCTACTCTGTTCTTGTTGGCCTGTCACCGTGCTTGTTTTGTTTTTAGAGTTGGTATTTTTAAGGGCAATCCTGGGGTACATGCCTGTGACTCCCAGCCTTGAGAAGCTAAGGCAGGAAGATTGCCCTGAGTTTGAGATCAGCCTGTGCTACATGTCTCACCCCCCCATAATAAAAGCAATGCTTATGAATAATGTTTATCAGCAGAATGTGGACAAAATCCCCAGGGAGTGGTCTTAACACTTAGAAAATATTTTTTCAAATTTAAACATAATTTCTGCTGTATGATAGTACCTAAAATGGTATGTTTCCATGTAAATATTACCTAGGGATTATTTGCTAAGTTTTGAGAAACTATTTTTTCTAATGTCCACTGGCTTTTTTTTTTGATAATGAAAACTTGTAGGATTATTCCTCATATTGCTACCAGTTCTTAGATTCCTTGAAGGAAAAGAAAGATATGAATTTCAGATTCAGCTACTTTTTGTTTTTAGGAACAGAATAAAGATTGCTGTTAACAGTAGCACAATTTTCATTTGCTTCATGTCCTTACTTGTGATGTCCCTGTTAAATCTACATCTGTAAAAATGGGCCTGTGCTAGACCGGGGATTTAGCTCAGTGGCACCACACTTGTCTCGAAAGTGCAAGGTCCTGAATTCGATCCCTGGCATGGAAAAAAATAAAATGGATCTATGCATTGACTAGTGGGCCTTCCCAGTTTTGCCTGGTGCCGGTGTAGTAAACACTTCCCCTTCGGGATTCTCAGTGCTCTTCAGAACTTCCTCTCTCTGCAGGGGATGAGCAAGGGACTGGAACACACTGGTCCTCTGTCTGGGCCGGTTCTGACCCAGTGAGCAGACGTGGTGAATGCTTTTCTCTTAAGTAATCTGTTTTCATACTGGCGAGAACAGAGTCTTTGGAGCCAAACTGCCCCGTGTTCCCACCACCTCTTAGCTATGTGATCTCGAACAACTCAGTTTCTCTTCTGCATGGCTTCCCCGTCAGTAGAGAGCGGAGGGAGCAGCGTGGACGCTTTCCTGTTTCCTGAGATTCTTGTGATGATGATGATTGATTATGCAGTGCTCAGGGCAATGCCTGACAGCAAGTGCATGCCCGGCAGGGTCTGACCCCTTAGGTGTGCGTCGGAGACAGGGAAAGCTGCAGGGACACCCCGATGGCTGACCAGCTGAGAAAGGCTGTTCAGCATCGTCTGCTGTTGGAGAGATCCTGCTTGCCGCCAACCAGCTAGCGTGCCTATGGCTAGAGAAGGAACAAGCAGCCCTGCCAGCGTGCGCAGGCCCTGGATCCCACCTCAGAATAGGACACAAAAGTAAGTCCGGGAAGCAGAGTGTCCCCGAAATGGGGTGGCTCAGATGGCAGAAACGCGCTGCCTCCCGGCTCTGTGGGGTGCAAGTCAGAAGGGAAGCTGCAGCAGGCCCTGCACCCCAGAACCTGCAAGGAGGCCTCGCTCCTGGACTCCGGACCGGGCCGCAGTGTCTCTTCCCTCCTGCCTCACTTCGGGGCGCTGTGCTCGAGCCTCTGCCCCTGAGTGTCTCCAAGGACAGCAGTCAGCCTCAAGCCAGCGTGACCTCATCTTCGGGGCTCTCTCTGCACCTAAAGTCACCCACCCCATCCTGGAGAGTGTGGTTCATCCCAGTACTGTGTCCTGGGCTGTGTATCACTGCGCACTTGCCTCTCCGAGGGAAGGAAGAGCAAACAGGAGCTCAAATGCTTGCTTCTGCTCAGGTAAACATGGTGTCTCGAGGGGACCATGCGCCCGTGCCCTCCTGAGAGCCTGTGCCCATCTCTTTGCTGCGGGCACCGTGTGCTGGCATGCTTGGCCAGAGAAGTAGCCTAGGACAGGGCCTGACTGGTATGGTCTCATTTCCCGTGAAGAAATGGGTCCTAGACACATCAGGCAGCAGCACGTCCTGCAGCCCCCGAGTTGAGATTTCAGCCAAAATCCACCTCTGCTGACAAATGGGAGTGTCAGTCACTGAAGCTGAAGCTGAACAATGTCTGTGGAACACGTTGGGGTGGGGAAAGGAGCCATGCTAATAATCCCTGTGGTCCCCTTCTCAGAAGTATTTTAGTTATGTATTTTTCATTGTTTAAATGCCTAATAAATGTTTGCTCTAAAAATGAAGTGTAGTAGCTCTAGGAATGGTGGTGCATGCCTGTAATCCCAGCACTCAGGAGGCTGAGGCAGGAGTATCACCACGAGTTTGAGGCCAGCTTGGGCTGCATAGTGAGTTCAAGGCCAGCCTGAACTACACAGTAAGACTCTGTCTCAAGAAACCAATAGTAGTAGTAGTAGTAGTGGTAACAATAAAAAATAAAAATGAAATGTAGTTCATTCTGTTTTTTTGTGGTTAGAATATTCACCCTATTCACCTTTTTTGTATATTTGCTTCTTTGTTCTTTTTCAAATCTTTATTTTTTAATTAAAAAAGTTTTTTAGGGTAGGGCCTCACCATGTAGTTCACACTAGCCTTGAAATCATTATGTAGCCCAGGCTGGCCTTGAGCTTGAGATGATCATCCTGCCTCAGCCTCTGGAGTGCTGAGATTACAGGCATCCACCACCACACTCTGCTTTTAAATTGTCTTTATAAAAGTGCTCATCATCTATTCCCTCATGAATAGTAGGCTGAACTGTGAAAGAGAGCATTGGCCCTTGGGTATTATGCAGTGCCTCATCTTTGGGGTAACTTATTAATGATAAAGATATTCATTAGGTCAGTCTGAATGTAAACATTCTTTGTTTCTTACTACAAGCCTAGAGTAGGATGGAAGAGATCTTTTAACAATGCTGTTAAAAAGAATAGGTAGGGCTGGGGATTTAGCCCAGTGGTTCCACTGCCTCCCTTGAAAGCACAAGGTCCTGAGTTAGATCCCCAGTACCAGAAAAAAAAACAACAACCCATAATTTTCACTGAGCATTACTTGTAGTGAACAAATATGAAAAGAGAACACAGGAGATTGCAAAGCTGGACTGTTGCCAAGAGATCAGAGTATAAAAGTGGGTTTCAGATCAAAGGTTCTGTTTTGGGATTTGCTTGACTTGTTTTAAGACCTTGACAAAATAACTTCATGTGTTTATGGCTCATGTTTCAACTTCTATAGCAGTGTGCTTTTGGGAGATACTGTTATTTAACAGGCAGTCTGCTTTGAAATGTGGTATAATTTATGTGGGGATTTTACTAACTGAAAAGCTGAGATGCCAAATATAGCCTCTTTTGAGGGCTTACAGGGAGGTGTGTTTTTCCACTGTCCTTTGGCTTGGACAGAATCAGTCACAGTTCTGACTCTGTGTTGCTCAGACTGGCCTGGAACTCTTGGTGATCCTCCTGCCTCAGCCTCCTGAGTGCCAGGATTACAGGTGTGGGCCACCACGCCCGTCTCAGTCTTACTAGTTGTTTTGTTTTTTAGGTGTCTGACTGTCCACTTTGAAAATTAGTTTGATCCATTGATTCATTTTCTAACAATTATCCTTCTTTACTTAGGTGTTTAGTTTTCCTAGTTTAAGAGGATAAACAAATACTTAGGTTCTTAGAATTTTGAAATCAGAGTGGACCTTACCATGTAGTCCGGCCCACTAGTCAGGCTGTGTTGGCGTTTTCGTGTCATACAGCACATGTTCAAAGCAATGCGCTCATCCTGACTCTGAGACGGTGCCCCGTTCACCTTTGCTTCGTCATGAGTGGAAACGGCACAGTGGGTCAGCACCGCACTGTGTGCAGAAGGCCGCAGGGGAGGTAAAGTCACACCTGGGGGAAGGAGGACGTTTCAGCCAGTGAACACCCCTGAGTTAGGTGCTGTGAATACTTCATGCACAAGACACTCATCTGTCTTTGGGAGTGGCGGGCAAGAACCTCGAGGGAGCTTCTGTGACAAGTAAACCTTTGCCTGATACCTTGGAACATGGCAGGCAGAAGTCCTGGGAGAGCTGGGTGTGGTGGCACATGCCTGGAACCCCTGGACCAGGAGGCTGAGGCAGGAGGATCACATAGTGAAGACCCTGTCTCAAAAAAAAAATTGCTCTATGAACACAGATTGTGTTATTATGCAGATGAAAGTTGCTCAAATTGCTGCCTTCAGAAAAATATATTTAGTATAAATAGGTGGAGGCCTTTTAGTATTTTCTCCTAATTAGCTTTCCTGGGTTAATGAGTGTTTAGGACAGAATGCCTAGGCTACTGCATTTCGTTTGAAAGACATTTCAGTTAAATAAACAAACTTCCAAGTCAGCCCTCCCTGCACTGTGGCACTATGGAAGCTGTCTGTGGGGTGTTTTTTGTTTTTTGTTTTTTGCAGTGCTGTGGTCAGAACCCCTGGCCTCTGCTAGGTAAGTGCTGTACCACTGAGCCACATCCCTGGCCGAACAAAGGCAGGCTAGAGAGACCTCATGTATAAGGTAGCATCACAGGCCTCAAAGCTTCCTGTCATTCAAAGCGGTCAACAACAGATCAAAGCTTCACACTTTGGGGATTTGTTTTGAGGCAAGGTCTTGTTAGGTAGCCCTGGCTGGCTGGGACTCACTGCATTCTTCCTGCCTCAGCCTCTTGAGTGCTGGGATTCCAGGCATGTGCTGCCATGCCTGGCTTGGGGTGTTGTTTCTTCTGAGCCCTGACACTAGTGTAGAGGTACTTGTTGGATTGTTTAGAAGATCGAAGACTATTTTCTCCTTAAGATAGCAGCAGGTTCAGAGTTGTCCCTGTATGTAGTTATTTGCATATTTGCTCTCCTTTTTTTTGCTTCTGGAAGGCTGGGGCTATTTCTTTAACTTCCTGTCATAGCACCCACTTTCCGGCTCCATCTCAGCCCTACTCCAGAGTAGAGTCTCCAAGCCTGGTGGCCCCTGACCATGACGTCAGGCAGTGCGGGAGGGTGGCCAGTCAGTTGGCAGCAGAGCTGTTTCCCTTAGTAACTTGGGTGTGCAGTGATGGAAGAGACTGTCCCACTTCAGAGAGTACAGTGATGGAGTAAAGGTGGTGTTCAGTCCTTCCTCTTGGAAGTGATCTCAGAATAACAAGGAGGATAAGAAATGCAAATTCTGTCCTTGGGGATATTAGGAGACCGCAAGAATTCCCAATGAAATTACAGAAGTAAGGGATGCCCTTCCACCAGCAGTGCATAAAGGTGCCAGTTTCTCTACTTCTTTGCCAAGACCTGTGTTTTTTCATTTTTGTATTATAGCCATTCTGTGGTTGTGAAGTTGTGTCTTGTTGTGATTTTAACTTGCATTTCCATAGTAATTAATTATGCCAGACAACTTTGCATATACTTGTTTTGGCTATTCTGATACACTCTTTGGTGAAATATCTCTTCACATCTCTCTATCTCTTTCTTTTTCTTTTAATTTTGCAGACAGGATCTTGGTATATGGTTGAGGCTGCCTTAAATGCACTGTGTAGTCCAGGCTGATCTCAAATTCCTGGCCATCTTCTTTCGTCAGTCTCCCAAGTGCTAGGATTACAGGCATGCGCCACCACGCCCTGCCTCTTTTTCTCATTTTTAACTGAGTTGTTTGGGTCCTATGGAGTTATCAGAGTTCTTTATATATTTTGGGTACTAGTCCTTTTTTGAGAATCATGTTTGGGCGAGTGCAAATCAGAACCATGCTGAGATTCCACCTCATCCAGTCAGAATGGCTGTCATTGTCAGAATGCAAAAAACAATGCTAGGCGTGATGGCGCACCCCGGTAATCCCAGCACTTGGGAGGTTGAGGCAGGAGGATCGATGTGCGTTTGAGGCCAGCCTGAACCACACAGCAAGACCCTGTCTCAAAAAAACCAAAAGAAAAACAAAAAGGAATGCAAAAACAATGAGTGTTGCCGAGGATTTTGGGAAGGAAGGCTTATAGGCTGTGGGGAATGTAAATCAGTACAGCCACCAGAGAGGTCAGTGGGGGCCCTCAGCAAACTGAACATAGAGCTCCATGCAGTGCAGCTGTACTGCTCCTTGCTGTGACCTGAAGCCACTGAAGTGCACATGCTGGGGGCCCAGGACCCCCACACAGCTGCGATGATTGTGACACAGTTCCCAGTGGGCATGGCATGGAACCTACCTGGGTGCCCCTCAGTGGATAAGTAGGTAAAGAAAATGTGGTCGGTGTACACCGTGGAGTGCTATTCAGTGACAGGGAAGGACAAAATCCTGTCATTGGCATGAAAATGGATGGATCTGGAGACTGTGGTGTTGAGCAAACAAGCCAGGCTCAGAAAGGCAAATCGCACACGCTCTCCCTGATCCATGGGGTCTACAGAAGGTGACAAGTACAAAGGAGACTAATTGGACAAGAGGAAGGGCCAGGAATTTATTTATTTATTTATTTATTTATTTATTTATTTATTTTAAAATTAATTTCATTGGTACATTTTAGGTATACAATTCATTTACATTTATCATTGGGTGTTTGTCCCTGTACATGATGTATCTTGGTTCTTATTTTTTTTCCCCATTACCTGTGCACCCTTCACCCTCTCCGCCCTTACCTATTTACATAGACTTCATTTCCATTTTTTTTTCTTTTCTCATAGTTTTTCCTTTCCCTCTTTTCCTTTCCCCTTCCCCTCCCTTCACTCCTTTGTCTTTGGACCTTTTTTCCTATTTCAAATT